TTTTTAATTATTAAAATACATAAAATAAAAAAAATCCAATAATAATGGGTTATTTTAAGAATCCAAATATAATCTATATAATTAATTATTCATTTTAACAATTTAACTATTTATTAGTATTTAAAATCCATCCATCTCAATGCCCACAACTAAATTTTGTAAAAAAAGAAAAAGAAAAAAACAAGTTCTTATGTCTTCTACATCATTTTTCTAGTATTTAGCTCCACTGTTCTAGTATTAATATTCTTCAACTAATCAACTTTAAAAAAAATAGAAAAAAGAGAAAAAAGAGACTCTGGTGGTGGTTATTCAATGCAAGCCGATGCAATACTGCTCTTCTCATTGAAAGTTTGAAAAAAAATTAAGGAACCACCAAAGTGATCACTAACTTCTTGATAAAGACTAAAAATAATACTATCTTTTTTTATGTAAATCATATATTGTTATATTGGGTTTCAACTTTAAAGTTTTGTAAGTTTTTTTATTTTATTTTAAAATTTTGTTCTATACTTGTTAATAGATATGTTCTAACAAAAAAATTAGTATACTCTCTCTATCCCAAAATAATTGATATTTTTAATTTAGAATTTATCTCAGAATAATAGTCTTTTTTTTTTTATTTTGACGAAGATAAATAGTTTTTTTCTACTTTAATCATATAATTATCTCTTAACTTTAATTATTTATTTTCTAATGGAAGTAGATATTTATTCTAAGTTATTTTTTAAGTATAAAATAAGTAAAGATAAAAATTGTTTTCAAATATTTCATTTAAAGATAAAACAAAAAAATCTATTATTCTAATATAGAGGGAGCAATATTTAAGTAATAAAATTTATTGATTTTTTATTTTCACAAAAAATTGTATAATTTCTTTTTAGGATTTAGAATTGTTGAGATTACAAATAAAATTGAATATTATGATAATAGTAAAGTTATATGAAATAAAATTAGATCGGAGTAAAAAATTTGAAAAAAAGAAAGAAAGTACAACAAATCCATAAAACGAACATACATGAATTCAATAAAAGGAAAAAACCTTGGATATAGTCATATAAAAAAAAGCAATAGGAACATAAATTAGTATAAAAGAAAAATAAACTCGTATAAAGTGTAATTAGCTTGTAAAAAGGGGAAAAAATTGTTTGCTTGTAGAAAGTCGTAGGGTAAAGAGATATAATGTTATCGTATTTCCAAATTATGTCAATGGCTTGTGGAGACAAGAAAATCAAAGATCTGTAGTCTTATTTATAAGTTAATTACTTTGATGCTTACTCTTTTATTTCTATAGCAATAACAAAAAAAATATTTTTTACCAATAGACAATATTATAAATAGATTTTGTGACATGAAAAATTGTCAAGTATTATTTTAATATATGATATAAAAGTAAGTTTTCAAAATTACAATACATTATTTTAAGATTTAAAAAGACGGCCCCCATAATTAAAATACCTTTGTAAATTGTAAAAATACAATTAGTTGTAATCAGTAAAGTTAATGGATAAGTGGTAAAATCAAATATAAATTACTTAAATATAAATAAAGATCAATCCAACGTAAATAATTGAGTTGAGTTTTCAATGTATTGATATATTAGGTGTATTAAATTTAGAATAAAATAAATTTTTTTTTTTGTTTTGTTTTTTCAGGGGATGAAGACCCTTGTGAGGTAGGAAAATTCCCCATATAAATTCATGGTAAAATACATCTCCATCCCCACCTTGCGAGGAGGGATATTCCTCCCCTCTGTGCTCTCATAACAGGGATCAAGAAAAATTGCCATCCCTATACACACCTTTAAATCTATGATCTTCCGGGAAACAAAGGAACATGATTAATTAATTGGTTAGTTATCCGTTGAAACTCTACCAGCAAAGTCAAGATGGTCTATTACAAGTTAAACAGAACATTTTCACTGAATCTTCAGAAAATGGTTTGGTCCTCTAAGAGAGAAAACTACGAATAGTAGTATAAGACAGCACACTGCCTTGAGCTGAATTGTTGATGTTTGCAAGAGGCAACTTTTTACTTGGGCTAAAAAAGGGAGAAAATTTCTAACCTGCACCGGTCTTAAAAATATATAATAAATGTGTTTTTATTATTTTTTAATTAATTTATATTAAAAAGTTAAAATATAATTTGAATTTTATTAATTATTTAATTAAAAATATACACGAAGCATTGTTTGTAAAAATAAGGTAAACTTTTTTATTTTCTAGAAAATTTCTAACCTGCACCGGTCTTAAAAATATATAATAAATGTGTTTTTATTATTTTTTTAATTAATTTATATTAAAAAGTTAAAATATAAATTGAATTTTATTAATTATTTAATTAAAAATAT